ACATAAAGTTTATTTTATTTTCTATGAAGAAACCGAAAAAGCGATAAAAAATATAGGTTGCCATTTAAAAAGACACAGTTGGGATCCGCCCAGAAAAAATCGAACACCCTGTGTGACCGCCAATATTTTTATTTTGTCGAGCTCGAGCAATAAGGTAATATTATAGAAAATTAGATTTCTATCTGCTTCCTATATAGAGATATGGAACACCGCGCCACTGTTGCAGGACCCTGTATATTGAATCATTGTCATAATGAATTATGTACTGGAAGACATGGTGCTTTGTGGGAAAGTGACGGAAACTGCCTCCTTGCATCTAGGATTTTTTTTACCTTGGGAGCTGTCTGATTTGTCCATTCAGTCCAAGTCTCCAGAAAACACTGCAGCCTCTTGGGCTTATTGCGTTTATTCTCCCAGCTTCTCATGACAGCCATTCAATCAGTCTCGTTCCCTGTACTAGTTTGTGCAGGTTCCGTGTTGGATGTTGGTCATATTCTTCTGGGCGTAATTTTGTACGTCCATATATTGTCTGTCTCCTGTGATTCAGTGCCTCACATTCGCATAAAATATGTAGAGCTGTTTCTATCCCTTCGTTGGATAATCTGCAGCTGAGGTCTCCATTGTACAGCCCCATTTTATTCAGGTGTCCTCTAAGCAATGATCGGTTAGTAACCCTGTAATTATTTTGAGCCGATCCCTACTATATTGAAGTAGTTCTTCAGTTCTTTTCTCGGACGGTTCCCTAATGAAGGTTCTACTGTGTTTGTTGCCAGGTACTTTTGTCCAGTACTTTGTGTGTTCCTTATTGGTCCATGTGCTAATCTGGTTTCGTACCAATGATTTTGGTACCCCAGAGCTGGTTCAGGACCTATATATGAAGTTGATGATCCGTGTCTAACGCATTCATCAGCTTTATCATTACCTGTGATTCCTGAATGCCCTGGCACCCAGTACAAAGTTAATTTGTTCCTGTTTGCAAGTTCATTCAGTTCTTCATGGCATTCCCAGACTAGTTTTGATGTCACCTTCGGGTTTGTCAGAGCCCCTAGTGCGCTCTTGCTGTCTGTAAAAATATTGATCCGCTCATTTCTTTGAGGTCTCAATTTAATAAGCCTTGCACACTGCAAGATAGCATACACTTCCGCCTGGAAGGCGGATGTGTATAGTCCTAGCAGATAGCTGTAATTTAAATTTCTATCCGCTCGGTATATTCCAGCTCCCGTCCCATGTTTGGTCTTCGATCCATCTGTACACCAGGTGGTTTTTCCAAACTTGTTTTCGGGATGACTAATGGTCTTCCACTCTTCACGGCGTGAAGTTTGTGTTTAAGTTGTACTTCGGTGTCATGTGGTCCGTGCACATATTCAATATGTACTCCTCCACTTGTTCCGAAATTTCTATTCGGTCCGATCTTCTGTAGTTCGGTGAGTTTTCCAGTCTGAATTGGCCCATCCCGGCCTCCCCCATTTTCACAAAGTGTAAAGGAGGTAAATTCAGGAGTGTCTCCAATGCAGTTGTTGGGGTAGTTCTCATTGCTCCCGTCATTCCCAAACATGCAAGTCTTTGCACTTTGCCTAGTTTGTTGATAGCTTCATCTTTGGTCACCAGACCAGAGATGCGTATGTTATCATGGGTTTAACCACCATCGTGTATAGCCAATATACCATGTCTGGTTTTAGCCCCCATGTTTTTCCATAGGTGCGTCTGGCGAGCATCAGTGCTACCTCCGCTTTCCTCTTTATCCTGTCCAAGTGTTGGTTCCAGGTCAGGAATCTAGGATTACCTCCCTAAACCTCCCTCGACACTTGTATTTCTTCACCTCGAAGTTTTAGAGGTCCGAGACCCTTCGTTTTAGTCCTCTTGGTGAATGCTACTATAATCGATTTGGATGGACTTATGTTGAGCCCTTTTTCTTCTGTCCATCTTGTTATAATGTTATAATGTTATAATAATGTTATAATCGAAAAATGATTTTTTCGATTTCGTGTTATTTTCTGATGAAGCAACTTTTTATAAAAATGGAACTGTGAATCGGCAAAATACGCATTATTATGCAACGGAAAACCCCCATTTTGTTCGTTGCCTGAACCATCAACAGCGTTGGTTACTGAATCTTTGGGGTGGAGTTCTCCGAAAAAGAGTTATCGGTCCGAATTTTTTGGATGGGTATCTCACTGGAAAAAAATATGTAAGATTCCTTCAGTATGAGTTTTTGAATTTATTGGACAGGTTTCCATATGGAACAAGACTTAGAATGTGGCTACAACAAGACAGTGCAGCACCAAGTTAAAAACTGAGGTACGGGAATACCTCAACGATCATGTCAATCAAAAACGGATAAATAGGAGTGGGCCTGTGGCGTGGCCACCCAGATCACCTGACCTTACCAAAATATATTTTTATGGGATTATATCAAATGGTTTTCCTACCAAACTCCTCCAACATCTATAGAAGACATGAAACGAAGAATCAGTAGAGCTTTCAGGAAAATCCCAGGGGATATGCTGGAACGTGTAGAGAATACGGGTAGAGACTGACAGTATGTGTTGCAGAAAATGGTCGCCATTTTGAACATCTTTTGGACTCCTCTATTCAATAAGAATTTTAGGCGTTGTTGTTCATATTAAAAAAAAATTTGAGTAAATGAACGTAAATAAATGTAAATATAGAGCTGTTCTCTTGAGTAGAGTTTTTTCCCAAGAGTTATTTTAATTATAGTATTTTGCATGGCTTGGAGACTACAGGTTGCTGAAGATTCTGCTAAAGAGCTATATATCACCATTGGATTTTTTATGTTTAGAATTTCTCCCAAATTATACATTTTATGAGTGAGCCGGCGGAATTGCTTTGTAACATATAGGTCCATCTCATATGCCGATCCAGAACTACACCAAGATATTTCAACGTTGATTCTTTTTTATCGAAGGGCAATGACATTGCTTCCTTTGTGGACATTCAGAGGAATGTATTTTTAGGGCATTATAATCAATTGCTTGATCGTTTTTGAGAAGCGTGTAACAAACGAATTTGATTTTATTCAGATTCAAACTAAGGAGATTGTATGAAAGAAATCGTTTCGAAAGTACTTTTTCGCTGGTGTAGTTCAATGTTTATATATGCATAATCTACTCCACTTGGAAGTTTACCACGATTCTTCGTATAAAGATGAAGTGAAAGCAAAACACTTTTTCCCCAAAAAATCTAATAACCTTCGATAATGTCTGAAAAATATAACATTTATTTGAGATTTCTAAATATTCAACAACACACTTACATATCTATCTAAAAGAGCCTGTTTCTCCCTTGGATCCTCTTCGTAGGTAGTTAAATCTGAAATTGTTTCGGATGCAGTTGTACCACTGATGGTGAGAAGGAGGTGGAGAGATCCTGCCCCGTCTTCAAGTTGTTGCCAAATATTGTGCGTTTTCTCTCTTTCTAAGTGACCAAGGCTTATCACACACCTTCAAGAAGTGGAAAAGAATTATTCAAATCTACAGATGTTTATAGGGAATTATTCCGTGAAGGGTAACACAACGAAAACACTCTTATCCTTACCAAAAAATACTGTTATTGAAGTTATTTTACATTAGATTTATCAGGTTTTCGTTGTGATTGTGATTTTTATATCAGAAGACAATGAAAATTTCATGTTGAATTTTCATGGATTATGGGAAATCAAAATTATTCATTTAATCTCATCATGAGATACTTTCATATTTAGTTTTGGAATCTACTTCTTAGAGAGACTTTTTGGCAGTTTATCAATCAAGATGACTCATTCAGATTTAAATAATCAAAACCGCTCATTTGAACATGAGCAATCGATCTGCCTAAAATACGGTTTACCTCGAACCTTCGTCATTCAATGAAGTTTTCGTGTTTCTTAAATTCCAAAAAATATTCTGATTCTTTATTCTATGATAAATTTTCTACTCAGTAGAAGAAATAATTTCGCTTGGGTTTATTGTGATAATTATGACTCAACATACCTTCCTATGAAGTCATCCCTAGCTCGATCTTTGTCCCAAACAGTAATTTCTAACTGTTGATCGCCATCATCATACAAATGAAGATCCAGTTGTTCAAGCCATCTCGGATTCAAAGACCTCCAAACAACTCTACTTTTGTACTTTTCGTTTCCCAATCTGGAAAAATTATAATAAAATTTGAAACATATAGAGATATCATCTGTTAAAAATCTGTTTTTCTGTTAAGCATCTGTCGCCCCCTACGAACGGCAACTCTCAAAAGTCGAAACTTGTGCGAGCTAAAGACTAACGAGGTCTTACCTTTTAACGTGTGATCCTGATAATGCAAAATGAAAACCTTCAAAAACTATATAAAAATATATAATGGAAATCACATATTAGAAAGTAGGACTTCATGAATCCTTGTCTCTTACAAGTTCGTAAGTTCGTTCGTAAGCTGGGCGTCAGCTGGTTAAGACAAACACATTGTGCTAATTTAATTTTCAAAAATTATATTGTCGGTATGATAAAGGCTGCAGAGAGTACAAAGGCTTTGCTACTGACAAATTCAATATTTCGGAATGTGAAAATTTAATACGAAAAACAATTCCAAAAACAAAAGGCTTTCTCAGAGTGAAGCATAAATACATATATTGATTAATAGGTATATATTCGTACAGTGCGGACGTGAATACTATCCTCTCCCTTTTAACTTTCGACCGGGCAAGATATTAGAGTCGAACAAGATTTTTGTGTAAAGGAATCAATTTTAGTATTTTGCCGTCAAGAAGGAGCTATCAGCTTTGTTTAATAAAAAAGAGGGTCTTGTGTTAACTCTTACGGTAGGTAAGTATTTCAATTATCTACCTAACCCGTTTTTTAATTTATAAAAATCTAATTAGCCATTCCTGAGTAATTAGTATTAGGTTGTTACAAAAGTTTTGTCCGTTTTAATGTCATGTGTTTTTGTAGCTCCATCTTCTAATAAATATTTATTCTTCTGTCTCGTAACATATACTGATCAATAGAGAAGTTTGTACTACATACAATATACATTACCGCTGTTAATTTTTCTCCAAATTTCACTTTTCTGTATATTTTCAACGTATTACTATATGATGTCGTTAAGCACAAAAGTTTTCTGAATGCTTCGGCCGTTACCTGATGAAGATCCATAGTACTTTCACAATATTTGATCTCCACGGTGAAGATCAAATCGTAAGGTGTAGTTTATGAAATTACCATAGAAGTGTTGAATATGCTAATATAACACTCGTAGTGCCGAGTTATGACAATTAACATAGACTGAGACCACATATGCTGGACATGCCGGCAGCAAATGCATAAGGATCTCGGATCATAGATCCGAAGATCATAGATTTCAAATACTAAAGTTTTGACCATTGGAGTAGCCCAAGGATCAGTGTTGGAACCGCTATTATTTATATTATATTGTAATGATGTTGGATCCGCGGTTGCTGAGAAAACGTGCGTTATGAAAGCAGATGACACATCACTTCTAATTTCGGACAAAGACGACACAATTTTGAAAAAAAAAATTGTTACACGCTGTCAAATCATTTGGTTTCATAGTGTGCCGCCAACTCACTTCATTTCAACTTTCGAAAAACTTCATCAGTACGGTTTTATCACAGGAAAAAAATCTGTTGAAATCTTGAAATTAAAATCAATCAGAATGAAAAAACCATTTTTTTATTCGATGAATGTAAATTTTTGGGACTCACGCTAGAAAATTGGCTGATCTGAAAAAGTCATTGTAATAAACTGATATTGAAACAGTTCTGATTCGTATCTGATACGAAAACTTAATCCTATATCAACCACTGAACGGTTAGTAAATTATTACTATGCAAATATTGAATCTAGAATCAGATATGGCATTTGCCTCTGGGGAAGATCTTCATTGGCTCCAAATGTATTTATTGCCCAAAAAAAGATTATGCGAATTTTAGCAGGTGTTAATCAGAGAACCTCCTGCAAAGATTTATAGAAACATTTAAAAATTCTAACTTTCCGGGATATTTTTATCTTTGAAATGTGTGTATTCATACACACCAATAGGTCGAAATAATATCACCACTAATAACTAGATACATAATTTATATTCCAACCTCGAATTTGAAAATTGATTTGTTGAAAGCAAATTGTTTTTATCTTGTATATACTTCAAAAAAAATCTTTTCCGCCATGATTCAATTACATTTTTTCTACCTCATACTTCAAACAAAACGATGTCACACAAATTCGTCCGGATTATTTCAACTGAAAATTAAAATTGAGTTTATTTTTATCTTCATATAACATAATTACGTTCAGAATGGATATGACAAAATACCTGAATTTACAGTATGGGTCCGATGTGCCTGTTTCTGGATCGCATGGCAAGAGATTCTTTCCTTCGACTAAAACTATGGTAACTACTGAACTCCATATCTGTGATTTCAATCGTCGATTAACATCTTGTACTCTACTATTTTTCTGGAAGTACTGAAAAAAGCAATACAAAATGATATGTGAACGAATATTTGAACACAACAAGTAAAAATGGAGTTTTATAAGGTTTTCTAACTCTGTTGAGAGCTACTGAATGAGTTTTATAGCAATTGAAAGCATTCTGTAATTTGTATCCGTGAACAACTGTGAACAGTCAGTGACATAGTTTTTCTGAAGCTAGGTTTCGTTTTGGTGTAACCTTGAAGAGATTACCACCAATATTAGGAACATTTGTTTTAGGGGTAGACCAAGTGATCTAATGGAAAACTCAAAGATTGAAAATTAACAACATTTCAAGCTATTGAAAAATCATTATGTGTTCCTCAGGGAACAGTCCTGGGAGCATTACTTTTCTAATTATATCTGAATGACCTACTCAGTATAAAGAAAGAAGGTGCTAGTCGTCTGTTGACTGTGAATTTTTGACGAAACTTACTGAGTACCTTCACTCCATATCTCAAAATTTTATTTCAATCACATCAATTTCTATTATATCCCCTCCAAAGTAATCCCCCACAGATATAATGAAATTGTGCCAGCGTTTTCCTAATCCTGGAGTTCTGATATGCATTTTTTGGTTTGAGCTCTCTCAGCGTTTTCTACCTCCTCAAACGTCGCAAAACGCCGTCCTTTCATGGGTCCGTTTATTAGGAACAGAAAAAGGTGGCACGGGGCCACATTGGTGAATACGGTGACTGATGCATGATTGAGGTGTTGTTTTCGGCCAAATAATTATGAACAAACAATGACGAGTGAGGAGGTGCAATATCGTGATACACAAATTTAGGAATTGTTTTTCCACAATACTTGACGTTTTCTTCGTATTACTTCTCGCAAGCCACGCATAACTCCTTATTAACCGTACGGTCATGTGGTACGGTAATCGAAGAAAACATTTCCCAAAACCTTGACATTAGCTCTCCTGGGCTCTTTTATTGGGATGATTGGACTTGGGTATACAGATGTTTCCCACTTAGTGTCTGTAAACCGAAAATCGACTCACACAGGACAGTATCTGAACTACGACTCCAACCACCATCAATCGACTAATAGAGGAATTATCAAGACTCTATTAGACCCTGCTTCCAGGCGCTGTAATACGAAGGAAGGTCTCGAGAAGGAACTAGACATTATCAAAAATGATCTTCAATGGAATGGCTACTCCAAAGCGATGGTGGAACAGACTTTGGCTAAGAGACAGCAGGAGCCTCGCAAGGAAGAGAAGCCGTCACAACCAGTGCTTGTAATTCTCTACATCAGAGGATTATCGGAAAGGATAAAAAGAATTAGATCCAAGTACAACATCAGTATCTGCTTCAGATCCGGAAACACTATCCGTAGCAGCCTCACGAAAACTAGGCCACTGAACGTGGACTGCGATTCCAAGAATTGCATTTACCGGAAACTATCATATATCGGTGAAACTAACATGTTGTCCAACAATGTATTCAACCAAGCTAGCGTAGAGATACGCAACATATGGAAACGCATAATTAAGCGAAAAAATGTCAACTCCCGCCAAACGGTCATCTCTCACTAAATCGGTGAAGATGAATGAGGAAACCGGAGATAAGTGAAAGTACTCAAATGACCCATAAATAGTCATCTCTCGGAGGAATAAGTCCAGTCATCACCAGAAGATGATTGTGGATACCAACAATCGAAACGTCGTGAAGTAACTTGGCTTGGAATCTTTTTTTTTATTTTTATTTTTTAATGTGTATTTTTGTTCAATTGATCTATTTTTACTTGTATTTTATTTCACTATCATTCCATTTCAGGTTTTTTTTGCCTAATATAATTGTTATTTTCAGCTATTCTTTCTTAATTCTTTTTTTTTAGTTATTTCAGGGATTTCAAAACATTTTATATAATATCAGACAATGGAAATCCGACCTAATGAAATTCTTCATGAAACATTGTTAATCACTTTCGAAACAGTTTTTAATTCTGATACCTAGAATCAGAATTTTCTTAGAGAAAATTTACAAATAATTTCAAATATCACCTTACAATTCTGGAATATGGCGATGAAAATATAATGGTAGCTTCTTCAGTTGAACTCTTCAAGTACTGTGTTCAACTGGGAAGCTACTGTATAGCGAAGTTACAATTATAAAAAAGATTTCCTACCATCGGTGGCATTTTATCAGGTTACCACAAACTAGTTATTGTCTCTCTCTCTCTCTTTAATTCCAAACTCTTGAAGGGAATATTATTATTCATGTTGAAGGACGAGAAACGGAATCAAATAAAGAAACTGGAAAACTGACTTGACTTCCAATGCGGAGAATTCGATTTTCTAATGGAGATATTTCAATTTGAATAAGATTAGACAGGAAGAGGGTACCCTAATATATGCTCTCCTTGAGACATAATTTGTTGTGGCAAACAACTAGAAGAGAACTGCAATTGCAGTATCAGGAGATTTATCTAATCAGTAATGGAGACGAAATCTAATAAATATAGGTACTGCGTGCATTGAAAATCCTTTACGGTCCAGTTATATTAGGGATTTCACCTCGGAATTGAAAACAGTCATCTATAAACTTGTATTAACCTTCAATTTGACACTGTAAAACAGGAGTCGGCAAGTAGTTTTAGGTGGGGTCCGAATAATGTGGGGAAATTTTAACAAGGTCCAGAAAACAACCAATTGATAATAATTAAGGGCTACCTATGTATTATTTTGTTTTCAAATCAAAGTCTGAGTTATGAAACACAAGACCTAAAATCAATGTGAGAAACTACATAGACGGTATTGAGTCAGTTTGTTATAGTTTGGTTCTCGAGAGAAACAGCAAATTCGAAGTGTCTCTTTCAGGTAGGCGTCTTGAAAGATATTTGTTTTTCAAAAAATTCATCTTTGAGAAAGACGTTTCACATCTGTTTGTCGAGCAAAACAGTGGCCAAATTTATAGCTAGTTTCTTGCAATTATCATATTTTCTTGGGACATGTTTGGTCCAAAATTCTTCAGTGGATACCGTTTTTTACATTTGCAATAACACATCTTGCAAATCAATTATCTCTATATGAAGTGATGGCTTCGACAGATCAAACAACTTGGCAGCCACATCTGTCCATTCTGCCGCTACATCAACTCCGTATGGCGATTTAAGAGACGGAGATTGCCCATCTCTGCAAAGTCTTGGAACCTTGTAGCAGATTCGTTCTTAAGATCGGCCAGAAATTTTACAAACACTGCAGTCTTCCTCAGAGTTTTTTTATATTCAAGAATTGTCGGAAAATGAATAAATTCTAGTCTTGCAATCTCTTTTTCAAAGATATCCAGCTTGCGACGGAAAACAGACACGCTCTGTATCAGATCACATATTACTTTTCAATTTCCTTGAAACTCTGTGTTGAGCGCATTTAAAAATATAAATAATCTTTCAGAAAAGTCACAACCAGCATATTGCGCACCAGCACTTAAAGTGCTTTCTGGCTCCCTGCGAATTTAAATTTTGCAAGAAAGAGGTTACTTGTTCTTTTAATAGCCAGAAACGTTCAATAGCTTGACCTTTACTCAGCCAACGAACATTGTTGTGTTGCAGTAAGTCAGAATACGCTGAATCACATTCAGAAAGAAACTCCTTGAAAGGTCGATGCTGAAGAGCAGAATGAAATCTCATAGAATTATTCAACTTGACCAAGCTGTCCATCACTTCTTTCAGTGTAGCACTGAGTTTACCACGAAGAGTTACCTTGTAAATTATGCACTGATATGACATTATACCTGGGTTTTTATGCCTGATTCTCTTTACTACACCTTTTTTTTTGCCAATCAAGGCTGGGGCCCTGTCAGTTGAAAGCGCATATTTGATACGTAGTTCAACCAATGGATGTTTCGTGTGCGTAAAAAAATTTGAAAATATTTAAATTACAAGAGATATAACTAATTTGCACAAACACACACGCACACACAGGCTAGATAGGAAACTGATCGAACCATATTAGTTGTAGGTAGGTACTTGTAAAACAGATCAACTAGGCAACTTAAAATAAAATAAGTACTAAGATAGATTCTATGTGGCTTAAAAATATCATTTTATTTGATGAAGGTGGAGTATACTTTAGCTACGTATTAATTTATACTTGGTAGATATACAACACATTACAATATTCGGCAGTCCGACGTTCGACCTTTCGCTATCCGCCTGTTGCTAACCGTTGCTCTAAAACTTGTCTCAAAACCTACTTATCGTAACGCTAGTTGCACACACACCGATTTTGGACGGCCGACTTTGTACCGGTCGTCCAAATTCCAATAGTGAATCACATGTGGGAACGGGACCTTGCACACTTGCCGACCGGTGATCGTCGCCGGTAAAATACCGGTGAGCAGCCGTCCACTGCCACTGTATCGCCGGCAGTACCGGGAAGTAGTGGCGTACATGACTAAATACTCTCTTGCATACTCACCGGTTTTTTACCGACCATTCCAGTCTCGAATGCTCGGTGAAATTGTAGTTACTACGCATTAACTTCGTTCTGGTAGTGCGTGCTAATTACGACAACAAAGCAACCGATTGTTTGACCGATAAGAATCCAGTGAGTGTGCAAGCACCCGCTACCAATAAAATATCGGCCGATTTTATACTGGCCGTCCAAAATCGGTGTGTGTGCAATTAGCGTAAAGTGACCGCGACTTTCGACATCTAAGGTGAAAGGTTTTGAAGAAGAGAAGAAAATTGAAATTAGAACTTGTAGTTCTTATCTTCACTCAATTTTTTTACAAGGTCGGTTACAGTTATCAAAAAATATTCGTGTGAAAGTGTAACGTATATAAATTTCCACAAGCAGGCAGTGAAAATCTAACAGCAGTCAATTATGCTATAATTCTCGATACTTTTTCTCTAAGTATCGAAACAAAAAGAGTAAAAGTTATGAAGTTCATTCAATTCCCGATTATAGGTATAGTACAACAGTAGTTGTACCATAACATTTCCATGACATTATAACAATATTGGAAAAAATATCACCAACGAATTGCCAAATGCATATTTGCCAAATTGTGGAAATGACGAAAGTTTTCAGCGACATCAACCTATGTAAGTATTTCTTTGTCGAATTTTAAATTTCAGGATAAAATTTTAAGAAGATGCTGATTGTTGAACAAATCAAAATCAATTCAGAGGTATATTTGAGATGTGATGGTTTTCAAAAGCTAACCTGATGGGACCTTTTTTACTGTTCATAGTTCTCATGCCATACTTTTGAAGGCATCCAAAAGTCTAGTGTCACATGAACCAGTATAGACAATTGGATATGTGCTGCATGTTCTTTGAAACGAGTTTCGATATTTTATTCCCGCCAGTATATTTTAAGTCACAATCCTAACAGTTCATTTCATAGATTCCAGACTATTCCGTCTCTATTATCTTACTTTTAGGGTTATCTAACACTTGTTGAAATGAAGAAATATAATTTTTGAACTTACGTTTATGTTATGCGTCCAATAAAAAAGGTAAATTTAGTAAATATTCTTGTGAAAGCTCTACTTTTGTTGGGATTCTATTCAACTATCTCTTGTTGTCATTGAAAACTCGAGTACCTTGGTATCTATTTCACATAAATACAAATGACAATCTTTGAAAGATGTTCTTGAAATATTTTTCTCACTTGAAATGTTCGATAGAAATGCTTTCACCTGTTCTTTATCCTCTTGACTCTTTGGATATAACGTTACTGCCAGAATGATTTCTCCCAGTGAAGCATCTGGTCTTGATGAATCTTGCAGTGCTAGAGATAAATCAGTTGGTCTTGATAGATCTAAGGTCGCCAGATCAAGTGTTGCAGAACCCATGAAATCGTCCTGAAAATAATATTTATAAATTCATCAATAAGCTATATGACACAAATTACAAATTAATCAGATCCAGCGGCGGCCCTAGTGTGGTACTAGCGATGGGATGGTACTAGGCGCCGATTAAAAGAGTGCGTCAAAATCATATATGCAAATATAAATATATACATTATAATGTGAGTATAGGTATTTATTGACTCTAGAATATACAGGGTGTATCGGGATTGTCTACGACCAAAATTTTTCATTTGTATAGTGGAATTTTTAGTGAGAATGAATCAGACCAGATCCCATTTCGAAGTAACTAATGACAATATTATTATAAAAGACTAATGTGGAAAATGAAAATGTTTATGACTGTACCTGAAGGCCCCAATCATAATCGAATACTTTTATACTGATAGGAACGAAAGGATCTTCTATAGGCACGGTAAAACTTTCGTCCCAGATTGGATTCAGATCTCTATATACAGTCCTAGATTTGTATATTAGCCTTCCACCACATTTGAACTTCACATATGGATCACTTAGACCTGAAACAAAAAGACGATGCATTTGAAATCAACTCATTTGCCGCAAAGTGTCATAAATAGAAATTCGAAAAATATCTTTTTGGAAGCTTTTTACATTCCTTTCAGTACATAAAAAATTTAAATTATTGATATGAAATTCTATAATTATCAGCTGTGGTTGGGACGGTTTGATTTTTCATTTCATTTCAAATCTTGCCATGCTATTCGAACATTTATCATTGTCGAACACATCTGATTCATCTCAATATAAAAAATCGAAAGTAGGTATCTAATATTTGCTTGACAGAAATATTCCATTCTGTTTCAAAATTGATTCCAGAAATTTGGTGAAAAAAAGTATTCTGTGAAAAGATTGATGCTAAACTTGCAGCTACTAAGGAAGTGAAAAGGAAATAAATTCCTATGAGATTCAATATCCGCAAAAAAAAATTTTAGAAAAAAAGTTTTTTTAATCGAATCTTCCTAAAGAAATTCCAAAAGGGTATCAATTTTAAAAAATGAAGGAGTTTATCGTTTCCAGGAGTTGTTCCAATTTGCAACCTCTTGTGCCGAACGGATAGTTTTTTACCTGAACTGCTTTTTTCAACAAAATATGTTTCCTATTCGATATATTCAAATATGTAAAATAAAAGAGAAACTGCGCCATAAAACAAGACCTCTTGAATTTCTCAAAACTCGAATCCTGGGATTTTGAAAATGTACCGAAATTATTAAAGACTAACTACAACTACAGTAAACGCCACGACTGATGGCGAGCGATCGCACAGGTGTAGACTCTCCCAACTAAATTACTATTGGATTACGATAAGCCCCTTGCCGGCCAGCATCGTACCTATAATTGATTTCAATTAGGGTAGCAAACTTCAGCCACTTCAACAAGTCAGCCTTCCTAGAATTTGTGTGTCAACTTGCCAAGTTTTTATGTCAGTGTTGGTGGTTTGACCAATCAATTGACAACTGCGGTAGCAGAAATTTGGGAAACTAACCTGGAATGCCATCGGAAAACTAATCCATATGTTTCTAGAAATGATATGAAATCGAGAAAGGTTAATACAGTCACGCTGCTGGAAAAAAGAACGGAAAGTCATATACCAAATAGCGAACGAAAACGGATACACCCAAAAGACAATAGATAAACTAGAAAACAGAATCAAACAAAAAATACAAAACAAGGATCGAGCCACCCCAACAGACAAAACAACACAACGATGGACAGCTTTTACGTACGTAGGTAACCAAACCAAAAAAACTAACAAACATCTTCAAACCACTGAACATCAACATCACATACAAGCCGAACACGAACATAACACAAAAAATAAACAACTATGAAAAAAAAGATGACAAAGCCAAAACGGGATATACAGTATACAATGCTCGGACTGCAACAAATTATATATCGGCCAAACCAAGAAAAAACTAATCCAAAGGTACAATGAGCACAAAATGGCATACATAAATCCAATAGTATATAAATCAACACACGCCATACAAAACAAACATAATTTCCCCCCACAAGGGAACATAAAACTCTTAAAACAAGTCAACAAGGGAAACCTCATGGACCAAAAATACGTACAAAAACTCACCATTTTTATCCATGGCGGCCAACCCTTGACCTCTCCGAAGGTGAAGTCGTAATTGAAAAAATGAATGTTGTCGTAAAGCCTGTTCTCTTCGTCTAGTGACTTCATTATTGGAGGAAAGCTGCAAAATAAAAATGGGAAAGAATGATTTTGAGGTGTGATTTCTTGAAAAATATACAGAACAATGTAAAATGTAAATTGCACACTCTCTTGCTTGAGAAATTAAAGTGCACAGAGAAAAATATCAAAGTCAACATGATATTATCGGTCTTCGAGAAGTTTCTCCAGTGATTCACCTCATGCAAAATTCACTAAGGATATTCTAGGAAAAGGAAATAAAACTTTCCGAAAGCCGTAATGATCAATAAAAAGTATTTTTTATATGTCTATTCGATATATACCAACATACCCAATCAAAAAATAAAATCGTATTTCTACAGTAAGTCAAATGAACCTATCCCATACTCATTTTCATCAAAATTCTCTTATTTTCTGATACGGTCATTTTGCAACTTGCAATTCGTTCAAACAGTTTTTCTCATATTATCGGCATGCAATTGCTAGGAATATCTCAAGTTACGCATAAATTGAATAGTCCATCTAATACATAAATCACTTCATTAGACTTAGGTATAGTAGGATTTGAGATTCTTAACTTACCATTTTGAGTCAATGTGGAATATTTCATGCTCAAAAACACCCAGTAGATTTCGTTTAGTCATGATATATCACAATTCATCAGTGAAATTCATCAAAAGCAAACAATAGATATGAAAGTCGGAAAAACTCACCGGAAGCAGGTCGAGGCCGACAACAGCACCTGGGGTGGGTGCCCTTGTCCTTGGGGAGCCACTGGGAGAACTTGTCGTGTCGCCACCGCCTCCACAGGCACGACTTTTGGGAGAGTCTAGTAATTAAAAATAACACGCCTTCATCATTAACGTTCTTTTGTATTTTGTGTACGCCTCATCTCCCATTAACTACCCCCAATGTAAAGCACTTTTGCTCATTACCAATAATGCATCAAATAATGAATAATTAAAGCAAATGAAAGTAATATGTGATCTTTTTTTTGTGTTTTTTCATTACCCGAACCATTAAATTTGAATGATGAGTTTTCATTAATGATTAAGCAAACAAATTAACCTACAATCTTCTAGTCGGTGCATTTTATGGAAAAAGCATCATCAAGATTCTGCCATATAGATATAAATCATCTAAAACACTATAAGACGATTAAATTTTACATTGCCCTAAAAAATCCGGAATATGATTTTTTGTATTTTCAATCCCCAACCTCACACACCTCTCAAGATTTTGTGCAATAACAAATTTTATATTACGCTTGCAAATGAAACATATTGAAATCTCAAGTCGACAACTTGAAAATCACGCCTCAACAGAGACGTGAGAGAACATAAATAAAATAATATATACAATTCAAGTAACTTCATCGTGAGATTTCCACTGGACAGTTTACAAAACCGCAACACGTGTTTCTCTACACAATAGCTTCCTCGGCCGATTTCACACTGATTAAATTCGATTCAGTCTGTGCTTCATATGATAACAATTTGAATTATATGTCTACTTAATGACTAATAATTTCATTTTACCTGACTTTGGATGAAAACTGATTACAAATTTGAACATCATCAAAGAAAATTTAGCCAACTCATTGAAAGATTTCAATGCTATTTAGTCGTTCAGTAGATAATCCGAATTCTCAAATCTTTTGTCTCTTCCAAATGTAATACCTCATAGTTGTGGTTGAACGCATGCCCCTCTGTAGAAGATGATTTGCAGAGATGGAATTGGTTTTAACCTTTGAGAAACTACTCCTATGCTTCATTATTCTCTGGGAAAAGGTTCTACCCGTTTGGCCAATGTAGAGTTTTGGGCAAGAACTACAAGTCAACTTATGTACCTACGACCTATCCGACACTAAAGATTTGTATTCATTGATAAGATGATATTGGCACATGACTAGGTAAACACATAATCAAAATATATATTTCCATTTTTTATATCACAATATAGTATAAAACAAAGTCGCTTCCCGCTGTCTGGTTTTATGTATGCTTAGATCTTTAAAACTACGCAACGGATTTTGATACGGATTTTTTCAATAGTTAGGGTGATTCAACAGGAATGTTCATATTCACGTAACATGCATAATATAGTGAAGAAACAATAATAATTTTGAAGGTTTGTAATGTGTTAGTCCTTAGCTCGCACAAGTTTCTCAACTTCTGAGAGTTGTCGTTAGTATGGGGGCGACAGCTGATTAACGGAAAAATATATTTTAAAACAGATTTTAAAAAACAGATTCAAATAAACACATTTTTGCGCTTGCATTGCAAACACTGGCTGATTCCTACGAGTTATTCAAACTTACTACACTATTGTACACCTTAAAAAGGTCTACAAAAAAGTCCTCTATGGTATATGTCTATCTCTCAGGGATAACCCACAATGGAAATTTTTTATCCTTTACTTTTTACAAAAAATAATGGATTATTCTCGAAGCGATTTTAGGTAATACCTACAGTATTAACCCTTATCTAATTAAGTACCTTAAATACATTATGCATTCAATATAGATCAATATGGCCCTATACCCATGTAATTTCAATGAATTTTTTCGAAGACATTACAGATTTCAAATGCTGGAACATAGCGGTTTCAGCGGTGCCGGCCGGGGGGCCGGCGTACGCGTTTATATGTATATTTAGTACCAGCTTTGCACCTGGGCGGAGCTTGAGCGGGTCGCTAGTTATGCTAATATTGAATTCGCACGTCAGCAAAATAGGCATGAACTCAGACTTACTATGTGAAACAACGCAAAAAAATATAACTACATATTTTTGGATACTTTCTTGAATGAAATTGTACACTTTGTGACATTTTCAATTTGTAAAAAAGTGAACTGTGATGTAATTTTTCAGTATTATATAATATGATTAGTCTGGTAGCTTTTGGTCTAGTTCATAAGTAGAAATTTGTGTTCAACAGAGATAAATTTTCTAAAAATATGAGTGATTGCTCACTAGATTCAGATTGACGTGTACAAAAATGGGTTTCGATGTTTTCATGACATAAAAAATTGTTGAAAAATGCATTCAGTTATTCGTCATTGACTTGAAAATTATCAATACTTAAGGAATAAGAATAAATATTTCACAATGAAAAAGTCCTGACTCCCAGAACTCTTATTTCTCCATAATTTATTTTTCAATTTAATGCCGAATGTATGCATAGCCTCTGGAGAGAATACATCATATGATTTTTTTGATTTCAAATACCAATTTAAAAATTTGGATAAATCACGGTGTTATCTGATCACTTCCAAGAATATCCCTTGGGAAAAAATTATATTGCTTTGTCAAAATTCAAACTAACAATTTTTTCCAACCTACGTTTTTACGAATGGCGATATGAAAGTTCAAGTGATATATTCGAACTGGTATCCTGGATGTGCTTCGATTCGTCTTTGATACAATCGCGACGTATCGGCAAGATCACACTTGCCATATTCACGTGCTCTGCTTATGCGTCGGCATATTATTTTTCAGTGGTAGTTTTTCAGTTACTTACTCTTACAATCATAGCAATTGATCACCCTATGAAAAAGTTATCTCAACTGAATTTTTCTACCATGGATAATTATGAAAAACTTCGAAATTTAAGGTAGTCGATTTCCGAGTCGAAAACTCTAAAATACAATGAAAACACAAATAATCACACCGAGAATGATACGAAGCGTTATCCATAACAATAACCGAGTTTGGAGGAACATTTGGGAGAAGCTGTTCACTGAACCAGGTTTCGAATAAAGCCGCAGTCATATCTTCGTGGTAATCAGCAGACGAATCTTTTATATTTTTGGCCGACAGAAGCAAAGCGTTAGGTACGAAACCACTTTCATTCCCGGCATGCAAAATTATAACACGTTTTCCCCTTGAAGAAGGTGTGTTCAAAGCACAATACTTGGTTTCGTCTACCCAACCATATTTGACAACATCATGGGTGTCAAACCAAGTTTCGTCGAGGTAGACGGACAAAAAATTAGTATTCAGCCAGTCCAGCTAGCCGAGCCTTTATTCCTCAACTACATTTGATAGCACGTTTACTAACTATCTGGGCGACTAGGGGCCACAGGCAAGAAATGTTTATGACTGTACCAGGGACGCTTTGAACATAAAAGCACTGGTATTATATACATTTCCCATTTGCCGAGCAGTGATTATGAACACCCCTCGTAGTGCTCTTATTTTTATTGCCGTTCCAATTGGGAATGAATATATAGCTATAGATATAGCTGAACTGTAGTCGTATAGTGAAACACTAAACTATAACTATAAGAGGTATAGATGTGATTGAATGATACATTTGGCAGATATATCATCACTAGATAAAGTTATTCTGGAAGAAGAAAAGAGAATTGAAAATTTCTTGGTTTGTACCACTTTTATTTGTAACTGATGTTACAATAATGTATAAGTTTGAAAATGTCCTTATAAGATGAAACTGCAGTAACATTAGTTACATAAAAGTGATAAAAAACATAGAAAGTTTCAATTCTCTTTTCTTCATTATGATTTCCTACCACTCAGTATAACGGCTACATCCATCAATTTATTATTCTGGAAGGTTCACTATTGTATTGGCATTATTTTTTTATAAAAAAAAACGCATCAACCAAAATGGTTATTAGCGTCACAGTTCAGGTTGCATTTCTAATTATAGTACACTTGTTGTTTGAATAGAGTTCAGAAAAGACAATAATTCATCTGATGCACAATTAGGGCCTAGTGTATCCTCCAAAGAGAATGGTATTCCATAATCTGTCGGTTAAAGAACGGACAATCAGTAAGGACATGCTTCACAGTCAGATTCACGTTGCACGCTTGGCAAGTTGTTTAGCTTCTTCAACAGTGACTGTTGAATCACTGTTGAAGAAGCTACTATGGAGATCAAATCGTAAGATGTAGTTTATGAAATTGAATTCTTTCAATGAGTTGGTAAAATTGTCTTTAATGATGTTTAAATTTGCAATCAGTTTTTACCCAAATAACTCAGGTGAAATGAAATAATTAGTCATTAAGTAGTCATAAAAATTAGGAAAATGTCCATACCAATGAAAAATGCTTTAACAGCTGATCAACAATAGCTACAAATTTAGTCTTTGAATCATTTTGAAGATCAACTGATCTTTCATGAAAACGTCAATCATTGTATCTCTATTTTAAAAGTTATCAATTTGTTCACTGACTAATCAAGTGGCCGCTATCGTATGATATTAAAATGAAAATAAATGATATTGACGTTTTTAATACACTTTCAAGTCAATAAACAATTGAATGAATTATGAAAAAATATTATTTTTCCTAATCATTATTTTTCCAAGACAACAAAATGATAATAACAATTTTTTTATATACGAGACCTGTTAGTGTATAAATGACTCAATCGGTAACAATTATCTAGCGTCAATTACAGCCGTTGTTATAGTTGCGAAAACGGTATCAGAATAATATTTGAACTTCGTTTTTGGTTTTAAAGGCCATTCGATTTTTAGGAATAAGATACTTCCTCTTCAGCACCAATTATTGAGAATCGCAGTGATTCATGCAAGTAAAATTTCAATTATCTCTTTCATATACTGTATTGTGTAACAATCCTGTGAATGATATTTGATTCAATTCCACAACGAAAGTTTGGAGTAGAAACTTTATAGGAAAAAGTGTTTTTTGTATAAATCAATGTTCATATAGGAGTAGTTGTTTCGATAGTTTTTTTTCTTTCGATTTAATTCAATGTAGTTGTTTAGAGAGGGTTTTTTCTTTCAGTTTATGTCTGAAAGTTGAGTCTTTGCATGATATATCCATCTTTGTAAAGAGTTTATTTTGAAATTATTACTTTCGTCCTTTCTTCATATGAAGATGGAGAAGTAGAAAGTCAGAACATTTCTTTCCCAAGAAACAAGGTTCTTTAAAATAACTAAACATGTATTCGCTGTTGCTGTGAATATATTACCAAAATCATAAAGTCACAGAAAGGTATTTGAAAGAAGATGAAACTTACTCATAGATGTAAATGCAAATATAGATACTTGTATTTTAACTTGTATTTTAACTTGACTTACACACACACGGTACTCAATTCACAAACTACGCTTAGTTTTCCAGCAACATAACGATGATGATAGAAATGAGGAAAATACTGATATCTCTTTACATGCTAATTCCATTATGTTCATATAATTGCCTGATCAATTAGTAATTAACGGAACCTTTTCCATGCTGAAATCGTGGTAAACAAAGGATAGGCATAGAAAATTTATTAGGATTCAATATTAGCAAGAAGTTTGAAGGTGAAAATATAATGATCAAGGGCATGGACTAGTATAAATTTGGATTCAACGTCATTGAAAAACTATGGAGCAGCCGCAGAAATAATTTTTAAATGCTAATTTCTTCCTTCGAACATGAATGAGGTTGAACTTCAGAATTTATAACAAGATCCATAAATAATTACAGAACGTTCATTGGAGGAACAAGAAATAACTAATTTCCCTATGGCAGCTCTTCGGATAAATGCATGGATCATACATTAATAAGACCTTAAAAAAGGATAATGCCTAGACTAATGTGTTGACGTGAAATGATTATTGACAATATCAGAAATGAAAACGACGTAGAGGCAAAAAGTGATTGAAACATTTTAACGGACTATCAACCTATAACTACTTGATCAAATATCCTAGAGGTTAATAATACATTGGAATGATCTATTTTACTATCAATAAATGTTGAGTATGCATAAAAATAATGAAACAGTTGAAGGCTAGGTATATACAAAGTGTTACAGCGAGTATTTCTTTCAAAGCGATGAAACGATGAAAAAATGAAGGCTAGACCAAAACAAACTTTTACAACGACTATTGTTTTCAAACCGATAAAACGAATAAAAAATTGGTAACATTCCAATATACTATTTAGTGAGTCATGGTGAATGTCGCACTGCAAGCTCATTCCATTCACTAAACCACACATATGGAATATTGGTGATCCAATAAGTAGATTGGTTCTTGGTGTAGGAGTGTGAAACGTAATTTCTTTACGTGACTGAAGACGAGGTACTCTAAAGAAAATTTGAGCTAGAATGTCTGGACAATCAATTTTGTTGTTGCAGCGATAAAGCGTCACTTCCCAAAAACTTTGAAACTGACACCTATGGAATTACCATCTAGTTGTCATTTTTCTTGAATAATTCGTGATATTAACCAAATATTCAAATATATTAGGTTTTTTCAAAAGTTTTGTCCGTTTGCACTGTGATATCTCAGTGAATACTAATTCAATTCAATCATATTGAACGCCATTTCAATCACTATACTTTTGCCAATATACCAATTGTGTGCTCGGTATTCGATGGTATCGTCAAAGGCCGTTTTTGCCTGGTCCTAACTGGCTAAGGTTCTACCGGTAATAAAATTATCGAAGTGCTTAAAAAGATGATAGTCGGTGGGTGAGAGGTCTGGAGCGTATAGTGGAAAAGGCAGAACTTCGACGCTCAATTCGTTGAATTTTCGGACGGTGATTTGTGGAACGTGCAAAAGGGCATTGAAGTGCAGCAGAATCGGACCTCTTCTGTTGACCAGTACCAACTGTTGCTGACGAAATTTTCGGTACATTTCATCGATCTACTCACAATAGGACCGATGAGCGTAGGTGGCTCATCGGTATCCAACCACTGCCCACTTCGCGAACTTTTTAGCCTTCCCAATACGTTGTAAACCATCAAAAACCGCATGGGACCTGACGCCCAGTTCTTCCGCCATCCCACGCATCGATTTTGATGATTCACTCTCCATCAGCGTCCTCAAATCCACCTCCTCCAATAAATATTCATTGAGATATGGACCTACAAAAACACATGAAGTTAAAACGGACATTTTTTAAACAACCAAAAGCACCATGTTTTCATTCTTATGCTTGAAGTTTCTGCTAAGTTACTTCAGTAATTCCGGAGGATACCTACTGTTTGAGTTAGAAATGACACTTTGGCGACAGTATTGTGACGCCTAAAGATGCTATTATATAGCGAAACACGTGTCGCGGTTTTATAATTCAAGTGTCAAGTGGAAAATCTCACAAAGAAGTGTTTTTTGAATACGTTATGATGGCATCAAGTATCGGTCAGTTCTATCATATATTTTTTTTAAATAATTCTCTATTCTGAAAAAAAACTAATTTCAGTACATTATTTTATTATATTTATCAAATAGACTGTTATATTTATTAATAGACTTGTTATTTTAATTATCTGGACGAAACGTGGGTGAATGCTGGTCACACAGTATCTAAGATCTGGCAAGATACTACTGTAACTAGTTATCGTCAAGCATTTGTGGACGGTTTATCAACAGGGTTACGCGGACCAACGGGTACAGGGCAACGACAAACTGTCGCCCATATAGGTAGCGAGAGTAGCTTTTTAGACGATAGTGAACTAATTTTTTTTAATCAAAAAAACGGGAGATTATCACGAAGACATGGACGCCCAACGCTTTGAAGGATGGTTTGAATCCCTTCTTTCACGAGTCGAGACAAATTCTGTAATAATAATGGATAACGCTTCTTATCACAGCCGATTAGTAGAACAGCTGCTAACTATGACCACCGAAGACATGGTTAAGGCCGATCTTATGAGTGTCATTGAACAGCATCGTGACAAATATCGCCAGCATGTGGTGGATACAATAGCTCGTGCTGAAGCAACACCATTTTGAGACTTCCTCCTAACCATTGCGAGTTGACCCGATAGAATCAATCTGGGCTCAAATTAAGGGTTACGTAGCTCGTGAAAACGTGACATATAAAATTTCTGATGTCCAACGTTTATTAGAACTCACAATGGAACGGATGCTGTAGCCCATGTGATCAAGGAAAAAGAGAAAATGTGGAGATTGGACGGGATAGTAGACACTGTTTTCGACCAAATAATAATAGATTTAAGTGTGACTGGGGATTCCTCTTCGGACGAGTCAATGGATTCTGAAACTTCATAAGCATAACATAGGTAATTATTTATTTGCTTTGTAGTTCTCTTTCTATATAAAAATAACATAATAATTATTTTGTGAATTTTTCTGTTTTTTTAGTTACTGTATCAGGCATAATAAGAAAATTTAATCAGTTTTACCATTGACACCAGGTAGCGCCACCTACTATAACAATTTTTACGTAATTACCTATGTGTTTAAATAAATGAAAATATTATTTTGGTACGCCTCTGAAAAGTTGGTAAGAGCATTATCCGTTGGTCACTTCAAGTGCGACGTTGCTAATGAATCACCTTCAATTGAAAAGTGTTATAGTATAGATGGCATCTGTTTTAATAAACATACAAAAACATGAAAAGAATAACTTACAAATTTTCCGGCCTGAATGTTTCATTTCCCGCAGTTCCTTCACTGTAACTAAATGAAAACTTTATTGCAAACAAAAAACTCACCCGTCCTAGTTTGTGCTTTGTGTCTAGGGCTCTGTGTACTAGGCGTGCTGTGGTCACTACTGAGATCGGCCGCGTAGTCGGTGCTGTCGTGACGCCCAGGAGATTTGTGTCTCCGTTCGCGCTTGCTGGAGTGTCCCAGTCGACTCTGCAACACAAAATACGTCCGCGAATTACGTTGAAGGTATATGTTGCGCTATTGCCGGCTTTACAACTTTTCCGACTTTCTAGGATTTGATCGATATTGGGAGTGACTGATGACACGAAAGTACTGAAATAAGATATCAATTCTTAAAATACATAAACAATAATTTCCCAATACGATGAATGAAAACAGTCCATTTTTTGTGTATGAAGTGGTAAACGAATTTTTTTATAAATATTTTAGAACGTTGGTGAGACGGTTGTCGGTTGTAGCGTGAGTGGTTTTCTACTCAATCAGTCGACCACTATGTGGAACAATGAATTCAGCCCTACTACCGGAAAATCGATTTCTACTGTATGTCGTCAAAATAGGGATAGATATCACACGTTAAAAAGTAAGTTGTAGATACTTAGCTCGGACAAATTTTGACTGTCACGAAAATATTCTTCAGTTTTGTGATATTTCTCTAAAACTCGTTACAAATATCGTGGAAACATTGTGAACTCGATATTCAAATTTGTTTTCATGGATAGCAAAACATTTTATCATACTTTGTGAAACTAGGGTATATTTTTGCATTTCTCCTATGATTCACACAAATCCTTCAAAAATGACGAACATCTGAAAATTTTTTCCAATCTTGTGATACTTATTTTTAATTCGTTCTATATATTTTCGAAACATTGTGAAATTGGAAATTCTGAATAAAATTCTGATTTGTATTTGTGTCCACCGATAGTGAAGAATTTATTCATATTATTTTGAGAAACTAGAGAAGAATTTTTTGTTTCTCATATAATTCACACAAAACTTCTAAATGAATATTTTGAGCAACTTCACAAATTCTCCAAAAATTACGATAATTTGAAGATGTTCTTCAATTTTTTGATTATTTGGTATTATTATTTACTATCATTATTATAATGGGTTAGATATTGTTATTGGTGTACCGATTCAATATCTATTTGTTCATGGTGTTAACAAGTTAGCTGAAAAATAATTTTTCAGGGTGGGGGGTATGTTGTAGCATTAGTATTTTATTATTAGAATGAAGAATTGTTGTTTGATGATTTGGCAACAAGGTACTTTGTTGGAATTTTTGAATAAACATTATTGATTGAATTGGAAGGTATATATATTTTCAGAAAAGTTTCAGAGTAATTCTATACAAAGATGTATGGAACGTCTAAAGAAGTAACAATCATACACAAACTGGAAGAAATAACCTTCTCGAAACAGCTACTTTCATATATTTATCATGTTATCCATATTTAGTACTGAAGAGCTGTGTCTTTCAGAGAAACATAGGATGTCTAGCAATGAGGATGACAGTTTTCCATATAAGTGAAATTTTACCTCTTACATTTGATATAATGTGTAGGAATCATGTGAATGATATCTGATTCAATTCCATAACGAATGTGTGCAATACAACCTGAATGTTTATTGTATAATTCAGTGTTCATATAAATGTATTTGTTTCGAAAGTATTTGTCTTTCCTGTATTTCAATGTTTATATGAAAGTAGCTGTTTCGAGAAGGCTTTTTCTTTCAGTTTGTGTTACTTGTGTCCAGTTACTTCTTTGGATGATCTGCAGATCTTTGTATAAAAAACTTTTTTTAAAATAATTGCTTCCTTCCTTTCTTTGGAAGATTACCACATTTTTTTGTATCAAGATGGAGAAGTAGAAAGCCAAAATCGTTCTTCCCCAAACATTGACGAATTATTCAAATGAACATTTTCCAGCTGTATATTATATAATATATATATATATATACAACTGGAAAATCTTCATCTAATGTAATATATACAAATGAATGTTGGTTGGTTGGTTGGTAAGTGATAAACTTCTACATCGCTTAACCGATCGTGATGAAACTTGATATGTATGAGTAATTTTTCATAGAGAAAGTTTTTAGGCTATCAATTTTTCTGTAACTCGCCACTAGATGGCGGTGTAGCACAATTTTTGAAAGCACTGTTTTATAACGCTGCGCACGCCTAAGTTCGTTGATTCTGATTCTGTCAAAATATAGGAACAGCAGTGATACAGCGATACATACAACAACCTCCAAAATCTAAGGCTAATTCTCTTATGAATTTTTCAAAACCAAAAGAGAAAAATGAAAACCGTGTTCGTGGATTATCAGAAACTTCAACACCCACACTATTCGTTAAACAAATAGAAAAACAACCTGACGATCCACAGTTTGGCTGTAGTTCCATACTGGATGGAAAATATTTTAAAGTACAAGAAGTACATGATGGTGAAAACATTACAGCTGATTGTCAACTGTGTCTTCCACAGAAAAAAACAATAAAAGGAATGAAAAAGTCTTCTTCAAAAAAGAATCCATCCTAACAAAATTAAAGACTATAATAAATACAAAAGAAAAAGAGACTTACAAATGAAACTCAAGATTGCGAAAGTCAAAAATCCAAAAAAGTTAAGTTGATTCAACCTTCCATTTTGGGAATAACCAAAGAGGGTGGCAAACCAATTCTAAGCCAATCTGTATTCGAAAACAGAATAAAAAATTTTGTTGTGAACACAATGAGTGCAATATCTTTAATAGAACATCAAAGTTTCAAGAATATCTTTCAAGGATTAAACTTGAAAATACCAACAAGGAAGACAATAATGAAACGAATCGTGGAGTCACATGAAGAAAATTTGCAAGTAATTAAAAATAAAATCAGGAGTATTAATTACTCATGCAGCACAGCAGATATTTGGTCGAATAAAAAATGAAGCTTCCTAGGAGTTACAATTCACTGGTTAGATGAAAACTTTGTTCGTGAACCAGCTGCAATTGCTTGTACTAACATAAATTTGAGTGAAGTACTGCTTTGGTTAGCTATTTAGACAGAAACATAAAAAAAACGCCCCCGGGTGGGCTCGAACCACCAACCTTTCGGTTAACAGCCGAACGCGCTAGCCGATTGCGCCACGGAGGCGATGATAGAAATTATTCACTAGTGGATGAGAACGAGTAGACTAGAAACTCAAATTACAAATATCACCAATACATCTTTTTGTAAACAAAAACAAACCCCGAACTAATTTTAAGTGTTGAGTCTTTTTAGTTTGATTGATATGTTTTCAAAAAATGTTGCACATTGTAAATGTTGCACATTGCCCTTACAACTTTATTAAAATATGCTAAATAAATTGTTTTATAGGGGAGAGTATATTTTGTGTCACTCCAAACTTTTGAACTTTAAACAGGGCCTTGTATTTTCATCAGTTTTTTCAACTTCCAGGGCCATCTCTTATAATAATATCAGATATCTGTCAACATTTTCAGTTGCTTTCATTCAATGTCTCATTTTAGGTATTGATTCCAAATTAGGCGGGCCTTATTTGCATAACCTTTTGTCTGTTATTTTCGAGAATTAGTCGCGATCAGTGCACGTGGTATTCATGAAAGATTGAGTGAGATAATTCACGTATTTGCAAGGCTGATTGTGATTCGTGAAAATGTGTACTGCTTATATGACGTTTTTTGTCGACTCGTAAAGGAAATCAATCAAATCGGGAATCAGGATGCTTTCAGATTACAATTATCTCAACTTATTTTCGCAGATACGTTCAGTACGAAATATTTCATTAAGTTTTGTGAATATACGTAATTATTCATTCACAGTTCATTCATCTTCAATTGATTGCTTTATTCCTTTTTTTTTTTTGGAAAATATAACAATTCCAAAATTTTTCAAATATCATAAATATATGCACTAGAGAAAAATGCAATTTTCGTTTTCATGGAATTTTAGACAATCGACATAAAATGACACTAAGTTCAACCAGAAGTGATGAAAAGCAAGTTTTTTGTTGTAACGACCTACTTACCTTCAACTGTGAAAGGAAACTGTGAGCTTTTTGGTAAACCGATAAGTGAGATGCTTCAGGAGGTGCTGCTGACTGAGGCCGATTTTCTGGCATCTCCCTGGGACTACTTAGTTCCGAAGTAGATTTGCTGAGGTGTCGTCTACCCCCCATTGCAGGAACGGTGGACATATTGTCGAGCTCGTTGGTTTCCAAAGAACGTTCTGTAGAAGAAAGAAATGACAGAAAATATGAATATGTTACGGAAGTTATTCTATCATCCATAGATGCATATATTCCTTTTTCAATGAAACGACCTTCTAACGGCAAACCTTGGTTCAACAAAAATTGTGAGAAAGCTATCGCCTCCAAAAATCTCGCCTATTGACAGTGGCGCGAAAATCTCAGTACCAAAAGCCGAATAAGGTTTGTTATTGCTGGCAACAGCTGCAAATGTAGTATGAATCAAAGCAAATAACTTCACATTCAGAGTATTAGAGATAAACTGCTTGCAAATTCCAACGGGTCTAGATCCTTCTGGTCGGTAGCTAAAGCTGTTAATCAGAACTTCACAGTTCTGCCACTAACACAAGCGGATGGTTCAATCGCAACAACAGCCAAAGAAAAAGCAAATCTACTAGCTGAACAATTTGCGCCCCACTCCACAGTCGATTTTCTGGGAAAGGCAACACACTATTTCCACACTAGAATCCACAATGCCGGAAATCAACAAGGCGTCTGGTCCTGATGAAGTGCCCGTCATCGTACCTAAAAAGTACGCAAATGAACTCGCACCAGTATTTTGTAGACTTCTCAACCTGTTTTGCAAGAGAGGAATTTTTCCTTCTTGTTAGAAGATTGCTCGCATTCAGCCTATTTCGAAAAAGGGCAATGAAAATCTTCCAAATAACTATAGACAAGTCACTTTGCTATCAGTGATATCGAAACTCATGGAGAAAGTCGTAAACCACCATATCCTCAAATATTTGAAAGGCTTCAACGTCTTGAGCGATCATCAATATGGCCTTAGGAAACAACAGGCGACCTTCTATCGTATGTCCCTCATATGTGGAATAACGCGATCAAAAATCATGGAGAATCTAGATCTGTAGCTCTTGATGTTTCTAAGGCGTTTGACGTTGTGTCATGGGAGTTTGCTGGACCAACTTCGATGCTACGGCTTGTCGGATCATTTTTGTGTATGGCTCTTCAGCTTCTTGAAAGAACGTTCCCTGCAAGTGGCCTTCGATGGATATCTCTCGAATACTTTCACCATCAACGTTGGTGTTCCAACTCTCTTTTTATTTCATCATATATCAATGACTCATTGGAAAAAAACAAGAATTCAATATATTGCTTTGCTGGTGACAGCACACTTGTCTCTTCATTCCATTTGGATTCCAGGACATCGGGTACGGAGGCACATCTTCACCGGCAGCAAGAGGTTGCATATCTCAATAAGGATCTAGAACTGATTTCGAATTGGAGTGGAAGTAACCAGGTTCCCTTCAATGCCACAAAACCCAGGCAAGAGAATAAATGTCTCCGAAACCGATATAATAATGTCAGGTCAGACAATTGATTCCGCTTTCTGCTTCGATAAGTTTGTTGGGGGTTAAAATGGACACCAATATGTCTTGGCACAATCATGTCGCTGGAATTGCAAAGGCTGGAACACTGTTCCGAACCAGAAAGCTATACACACCTCCGAAACTTTTGATGCTTTATAAAGCACAGATCAGACCTTCTTTGGAGTATTGTATGGATCTCTGCCCCCAAGCATATCCTGAAGTTGCTGGATTCCATCAAGAAAAAAGATATCCGCATGATTGGAGACGCGAACATCACGTGAAACCTTCATAGCCTGGAACATCGAAGAAAAGTTGGAGGTTTGTCTCTCTTCTATAGATAGTTTCACGGGAAGTGTTCAAGTGACTTGGCACATTTGATTTCACCAAGAGCGGTACATATCAGAAATACGCGACGGATTGTTGCAGCTCATCGTTTTGAGGTTCAATTCAGTACACCTCGAACTTCACTGTTCAATAACTCTTTCTCCAGCGATTCAAATCCAATGTGAGAGCGCCTTAAGGAATATCCTGTAGTGCTTGTGTTTTGTCTTTAAAAAATATTCCTCAACTAACGTTTTGTGATGACACAAATGAAACGACAAATTATAAAATCAAGTCGGTATAATGAACACGAGTAACTGATATAGATTAACTCAAAAGATACTGAAGGTCATAGTTAACCGGAGTCTTTTTATCGCCAGTGTGTTCTTACAAAATATACAGTGTCTCTGTGGAAGTCGACAATATATGAGTTTTTTCAACTGACCTTCATGAAATTGGACTTTAACGTTAGTTTTCGCTTTGAGTTAGACATTAGTTAGACATGAGTTAGACATCATGATAATTTAATTGAGAAGGCTAACTGTAATATCTACGGTATTTTATTGATTTCATTCAATTTAGTTTAAATTGATTTATTTAATTTTATAGACCATGCTCTCATATCCTGAACGTTTGTATTAGGTTATCATTATTTACATGTCTCTTTTCAGTTCATGTTATCACTTACTTTCAGTGATTTAACTTTTGTGATTTAATGTATATGTTATTTATATTTCGCACAAGGTTTTGTCAATAAAAATTTATTCTTCAGACAAATAAGTATATTCGAATTGAATTGAATTGAATCATTGGATTTCAGAAGATATAAATTACTTCTCATGCAATATAAAATTTCATCAAGTGAGAACTAAATTGATTTTTTCGTTATTTTCAATGATTCATGCTGTTATTAGGAAACGAAAGATTTCTCAATTATCATTTCATCAATTTTCAAACTATCATTTGAAATAAAATTTAAATTATTGTCTGAAAAATTGAGCTCGAGTGTTACAAAGTTTGAATACTTCTACGGTTTCTCGAAACAGAATAGTATCTGAAGTTTATTTTTCTTAAAGTACGACCAAAAAACATCACACAAATCAGATAGAATGCGTAGTAGTATAATTAGGTTTCATTTTTTCATAAACTCTCGAGGAGAATATTTTCCTAAGAGAGTGCACCAAGAAAAAAGAACTTTTAGCTCAGTTATATCGCTCTTGGCTAAAACATAACCCGGTTAAATCTAGGAATTTGAATCGCAAATCCTCAGTGTCAAATCTTCATGTGGTTCAAACTAAACTAACCAATTCAATATAATTCAGCATAAGGTTAGTATTTCAATAAACTAAGTACGCCATGAAGAACAAAATTTCTAAGTGTAGTAAAAAATGTATTGTATATGAATAATGTTGTTTCTTCAGAAAAAAAATAGAAATTGTGGATATGTGGAGAAAAATCACATCATTCTGTGTTGCCCATTCTTATACTCGGCTACACCACACTGATGACGGCAAAACTTTCCAAAACACGTATGTATAGTTTTGTGTCTTGATTGCTCGATAAAACCCTCTCCTTGATCTACATATTAGCTCACGTTAGTCTTCCATTTTAATATAATTTCCATAACTCTAATTCTCAAAATGGATTGAACATTGAACCTCAAAATTTCACGGGTGAAGCTATCCCAGGTCAGACACCCTTCATAAAAGTTTTATGAAGGTCCAGAGAACTTTGCGTAAATGTAACCCATTTTTCATCTTTTACCGTTTACGAGATCACCATGTAGAGACTCAAATTTGAATAGCCCTGTATACTGTATCCAAAAATGCGTGTTTCCGGTTTCATTTTAATGAATTATCATGTGATTATTCATTAATCCTCCTTCAAAATTTAATTAGGTTTCCGAGGAAGGCAAAACAAAATTCAAATAAAGAGTGTTTATTCAAGAGGGATTTCATTTGTGGTATATTCAAATGAAAATAGATTATTTCTGCTCGAGAAACTTTTTCATATTCGGTTAAAAGCAGAAACAAATTTGTTTTTTACAGGTTCTGTGTTAATATCGCTTCCGACAGAAACCGCAAAGTAAATCCTCTGAGAGCAAGATTATTGTGGCAGAAAGTTTGTTCCAAGTGAAATATTTTACTTTGATGTGATTCATGAAAGTTTACCCAAATTTCTTCATTCTTTGATGAACATACAAATATCAGCCGAAGGAAAATTGTAGAAACTAGCGTCTGGTTCATTTTAATAAAGCTGATATTTCGACAATGAATTATGTAGTATGCATGCAAAATTGCTAACTTGAAATCGAGGCCCATTTACGGATAAAATGAGTAGCTTTCCAAATGGCTAATGTCAGATCACTTTATATTCATACACAGCATTGTATTTTTTATCGACTTTTCTGAGAAATTCCCCCCTCAACGATTTGGAAAGAAAGAGGTTGAAGTCAATCAACAAAATTGACATATTTCACATTTCAAAACTCCTCTGACATAAATTGAAAGGGGTATATTTATAGGTGAGGGTAATTTTTTGGGAAAGAAAGGTTTCGGCTTTCTACTTCTCCATTTCGATACATAATAATGTGGAAATCTTTCATCTATCGAATGAGTTTGGTAATGAAGCGAATGAAGAAAAAACTACAAATTACTTGAGATTGCTTTCCATTCTGAAGATGGAGGCGCATTTGAGCCTCCGAAACATTGAGATAGGTATCCCAGCTCGCTTTTATCATGTAAAACAAGACAAAGACAAGACAAAAAGGACATTTTTCTTTGTCAAAAGTAATGCAAATTTACATAGTAGGGGAGACTGGGTTGGAAGTCACATTTTTTGTAAATAAATATTTCCATTGAAAGTGGAATAATATATGTAATTAATCATATCGAAAAAGAAAAATAAGTGTCTCATTTGTACGAAAAAAACATATTGACTCCTAATAAATAACTTCCTTCTGGCAATTAAAATACCAAAAATATCCATCAGGCCGCAATGCTTTTGAACTAAAAATACCCATTCTAGCGAAATTATATTTAGTCACTCTAAAATTCGATGAAAATTCGAAATCATAATTGTGGTGAATGTAACCTTGTAACCTGGTATGGCAAATGTAACCTGGTAAATGTAACGTTTTTTTTTCGAATATCCTTGGGAGACGAACCAAAATAAATACTTGAAGTCATGAGTATGTATCTTTTTAATTATTTCTTCTATGTGCCGGTGAAGATATGCCTATATCTTTGATAACCAATTTTTGTTGCTGGTATTGATAACACCGTATTGCTTATCTCTTCGACAGTGAATTTTTTACAAAACCGTGTCAGAGT